ACAGTTTACCACATATTTGAAATTTGACTGTTTTTAAGTTAGTATTTTTTTATTTTTAGATGTGTCTGTGTCTCAAATGATCATATTAATTATTTTTTATAATTGTTCTCTGAAGTCTTTTTATTTCCACGTGTTACTTTTATATTTCTCTGTCTCCTGTGTTTACATTTCTGCATCATCATGTAAATACAGTGGGCGGAGCTTCTAGTGTCAGCTCCTCTCCTATTGGTCAGCAGAGAGGAAGGAGCAGGATCCATGTGCAGATCTACTGTGCATGTTGGTGCTGCCTCAGTTTAGATCAATGTTTAAAGTTTAGTTAAAAACAAAGGGTGAGGATATGTGCCTTCGACCAATAGGAGAGGAGCTGACCCTAGAAGCTCCGCCCACCTTACTGACATAATGAGGCTGAAYTGTAAATAGAGGAGACAGAGAAATGTCAAAGCAACACATAGAAATAAAGATTAGACAGAAAAATTGTAAAAAGTACCGTATTTATTCAGGTATAATACAATCTTGAGTTTAATATTTTTTGAGCTTGAAAAGCATTAAAAGTCTAATAACCAATAACCTGTGTATTATACTACCCCCCCCCCCACACACACACACACACACACTTCATGGATGATTTTTAGGGTTAAATTTGTCGTATTATACATGAATAAATACAGTAGTTAAATAAGAGACACAGATACATCTAAAAGTAAAAGAAAAAAATAAAAACTTTATTGGACCTAAGCTGGAAAAATAAAAATGAATGTCAGTTAAAATATAAAACTTGAGGTAAAGTTCTCCTTTTTTAATTTAGTTGGTGCTTTTTAAGTGCATTTATTTATTTATTTATTGGTCCGTTTATATATTTCTGCCTTTATTTCTAATTATTTCAGATTTAGTCTTCCATACAGTTGTAACCATTTTAGTGAAACTTTTAAAATTATGTTGTGCACATCTCCTAAAACAGACCTGACAGATTATAAATTATAGATAACTCTTATTCTATTGTAATCTGAAGCAGATTATGGTGGATCTGACTCAGGTAAAGCTCTTTTTGTGTATTTTATGGTCAGTTAATCYTTGAACCAGGTTGAATTCAAAAGTCATTCAGTTGTAAATGTACGTGCAGTGATTACTTTATGCATGTTTTAATATACTCATCCAGTGGTTCATGAATATTTATAAAAGACAGACACAAAGACTCACACAGACAAGGACAAAAACATCAGTCGGTCCCTCTCATATTGTTTTACCTGATGCAGAAGTGCTGTTTGTGTGAAACGTCTGAGGAAAAGGCAGCTGGCTCCGTCCCCACTTCTTTCACAGCCACTCCCTGTGCACGCAGCAGCCATGCACGTCTGCGTCAGCAGCTGGCTGCTGTGCATGTGGCTGCTGTGGGATGAGCTAATGGGAGGGGGGCTGAGGAATGTAAAGGCTGCTGGTGTGGAGCCATAGGCTGGAGAAAACTCTGATGGGAACTGGGAGAAAGGTCATGTTTATGACTGAGAAAGAATTTGTCACAAACTGTTTGTTTTTAAAGGCTTTAAGTTTGTGTTTGTGTCTCCAGACTTCATGTGATGATGAGCTTCATGCTGCTCCTCTGGATCTGTTTMCAAACACTTGATTCATCGWATGMYGTGCCGTTTGTAAAGTTACACAGTCAGAAATTACCTCCAATACTTTTGTTTTATTTAGGCTTTTATAAGAAAAAAATGTGGACAGAAAACTTGTGGACAGATTGTCATGATATTTTTACCACATGTGTGTACTGGACCAAGGAGCACACCTTTAAATTTTGGTGATGTTCTGGAT